ACTGGGAGGGAGAGGGGAGAAGCAGGACATGGTGGCACTCTAGCGAAGGAGGTGGAGGTAAGCTGGAGCAGGGGGGCGGGGTGCTGCCGGTGGGCACCCACCAATTTTTTCCCAAGGGTACTCCCAGAGCACCCACGGAGTCGGCACCTGTGCTTGTGACTGTTAAGATGTATAATCTTTTGTGGGACAGTCCTGGTTCTGAAGGACTTCCTGGGCATTAGTGTGTCAAATATATTTGAAATCAATGCATCATGTTTGAATGACAATATGATGATGCAGAGGCCAAGTGTTGAGAATAATTTGTTCTGATCTTTTCAAGGTGTCATCCCAGATCTTACTCCTCAAACATGCACTCATTTTTTCCTCCCACTACATTCATTGCAGTTTGCCTGTCTGCTAAGGGTCACAATATAATGAGTACTTTCTAATAACCAACAGAGAATGCTTCCCTTGAATACATAGACTACATCTGTACACGGGCCATGTCTATACTTGAAGCTGGGAGTGTGAATATCAGCTTGAGTAGAAATATGCTAGTGCACTAAAAATAGTACAGTAGCTGTGGTAGCATGAGCAGCAGCATGGGCTAGCTGCCCCAAGTATGTACCCACAAGGTCTGGGTGGGTGTTTACTTGGGGCAGCTAGGCTGTGCTGCTGCTTGCTGCTACTCATGCTACCATGGCTACCCTACTATTAGTGCTACAGCTTAATGAGAGCTAGCATGAGTATTTCTACACGAGTTGAGAATCACACCCCAGCTCCTGGATTGGGACCCATCCTAGTCTAGACAAGGCCAAAGTTATTTGGCTTTCACCACTGCCACCTTCTCCTTTCCTCATATCCTGCTTTCTGAGGCAAAGGAAGAAAAGAAAAAATTGTCAACATTTAATGAAGGGAAGGGAATGGAAATTGAACTTTGAAGACAGCAGAGGGGAGGTAACACTGAAATACAGTACTGATTTAACTACAAATTAAATTATACGTATTGTTATAAATTGTTCACATTCCTCATGTAGTTCTTGGGATTGAGACCATTCATTATATTAAAACTGTGAGCCTAATTCTCCACTTACTTACCCCAGATTTAGACCAATGTGCCTCCACTGGCTTTCATAGTCACTTTCAGGGGTGAAAGTAACTTAAAGGACTTACTGGTACACCGGAGTACTGAGCGAGGGCATGGCCTCAACTGGAAGAGGCGGGGCCTTTCAAAATTAAAAGGCCCTGGGGCTCCGGTTGTGGCTGGGAGCCCTAGGGCCTTTAAATCACCCTGGAGCTACCAGCTGCAGAGGTGGCTGGGAGCCCTGGGGCTCAGGGGTGAATTAAAGGGCCTGGGACTCTGGCCGCTGCAGAGCTCCGGGCCCTTTAAATCACCACGGGAGCCCTGTCGCCGCTACCCTGGGGCAGCAGGGTTCAGGCGGGGATTTAAAGGACCCGGTGCTCCAGCCACTGCAGAGCATCGCAGTCCTTTAAATTTCCTCCAGAGCCCTGCCACCCTGGGGTAGCGGCGACAGGGCTCTGGCGGTGATTTAAAGGGCCCAGGGCTCCCTGCAGCGGCTGGAGCCCTGGGCCCTTTAAATCACGGCCGGAGAAGCCGGTCCAGTCCAGCCCGGCATACTGGCTCTTGCTGGTATGCCGTACCATACCGTACCGGCTTACTTTCACCTCTGGTCACTCTTAATATTCCTCACTGTAGGTGAGATGGGAATCAGGCCTTGGGTCTGCAAATTTGGTTTTGTAAAGTGAAGTTATGAGCAAACTCAAGACCATGGAGGGAATAATAATTTATTATGACTGCATAATTTTGTAATATCTCAGTTTTAAATTGAAGTGGTTAAAACAAAGTCGTCATGCTGCAATTTAATAAAGCCAAAGGCACAGAGGTTATTGCATTCTTAAAAGTGTGATCCCAAATCAAGCAGTTCTTTTAGAAAGGTCGCTCCCCCCTATTCACTAGAAAAGATAACTGTATAAAATAAACATTAGAGATTCTATCATCTTCTTCTGTGAAGATCCTTTTAATAGTGATTGTAATAAGTCTGATTATTAATCTACAGTTTTGTTTATTCACTTAACGGGCCTCATCTGCTCACCGTCTCTTATTCTGTGTTTTGTGTAACACCTAGAGCAATTGGACCCTATCCAGATTGAAGACAGATACTCCCATAACACGGATGATAATAACTAAATAAATGTTGCCGTTGACTTCAGTGGCAAAAGGATCGTCCAAAATATTTTCAAACATCTTGTCAGTTTTCTTTTTGCCATAAATATAGAAACTAGCAAAATAATAACTAAAAGATAAGAGCCAAACTTTGCTGGGACTCTCGAATGCCTGTCCCTTAGTGCTGTATCAACAACTGCTTTTTATAAACGTACTCCTCATATTATGAGCTTCACTGCCAATGAAAATCAATAAAAAAAAATTCCATCAACATTCATGATCTGCTCTTCACACTGGTCTCCGATTATTTTCTGGAGCTGTTTTATGAAAATGCCGAAGGACCCAGACAATATGGGATTTTATTTGCCCTCTGGCTTAAACATATGACACCTAATTTATTTTACATTTTAAATGTCTCTGATATCAGGCTTTGAGTGTATACCATATAGGAAACACTCATATTCAGTCTTTTATGGGAAAGATTTCAGGACACCAACAGCTGGTGCTGATCTTTGTGACATAGATATAAGGCTATTGAGCTCTGGGTCAGAGGAGCCAAAAATGAGGTTAAATCAGGGCCCACATGCTTCCTAGGCTTTTAGAGTTCATTTGTGTGACTTACTGAAGGGAGACAGATGTACCATTATAAGAGAAAAATAGAGGCAGCAGCCTGTATTCGCTGCAGTCATTTGCTAGTCTGCACAGCAGAAAAGCATGTTGAAAAGTATTTATTGCAGGTGAACCCATAAAACACCATCAAGGTATTTTCCATAATTGTAAAACACATTTTCTTTATTATTATTCATGATAAATCTTTGGAAGTCTGATGCTGAAATCTGTTACTGATGATTTTTCCCTCGTGTCATGTGCACACTTCAGTTATCATGGTGGTTTCCCCCTGTTCTTCCCCAACCAAGGTACTAGAATAATTGAATTCAAGGAATTTAATAGAAAAATCAGCAGTGGAATATTTTGGGGGCGGCAGAAAAGGGAATTAACTGTTTTTTGCAATAAAATAAAATGAGAGCTTACATGTTGAGTCTACCAACTGGAGTCTCTCTTTTAAAGCAGTCCATATGTCAGAAGCTAGAAATTTGACTTTTGCCTCTTCCTGTAATCTTACATTTGTACAGTAAGCATGCTGTATATTGGTCATAAATGTTAGTTCTGCATACCAGATTCAAGCTATTGTGTTTTGTGGTTTAGTCGTCATACCATCCAGAAGAGCTGTCTTATGAAGCAGGATAAACAGCAACTTAGTGATATGCCTGGGGTGAGGGTCAGGAAAGAGTTTGAACTAGACAGGGGTTGACGAGAATGTGAAGGAATGTACCGTCAGCTTGGGAGAAGAATTCATTCATTGAGCTCACTCAGTCACATGAAACACGTCTTGCTGAGCAGCTGTGTTTGCTCTAACATGCAGGATTGCTCAATAAGGAAGATTGAACAGTAAAAGAAAGAACTGACATTGTATAAAGAGATTCCGAGAATGTATTGGGCCAAATTTTGTGATATTTCCTGTAGGGAACAGGAAATTTAAAACACAGCAACATTTGGTCTTATTAAAGTTGTTACAGAAACCTTATGTTAACTGGGAGTTTGTCTTATAATAAAACTCAAGTAATTGCCTAAAGCTCATACAAAATCTGGATATTATGAAAAGTTGTATAACTTTAAAAAATATTCTATATAATACAGGTGCTTTTACTGTTAATTCATTCCATTTTTAGAAAGGTACAAATTGGCCTTCTTTTCCCTTCTTTTTTCAAAGAAAATATTGCAATATTAATTACCAAAGGTTTCAAAACTTTACTTGAACTAGCTTAGTTCTCTCTTGAATAGAAGTGAAAAGTAAATATTAAGGAGCAGCCACCAGATACTCCCTATGTAAGGTTGTAGCTAATTCTTTTTGTTTAAAACTTGGTGTGTGTGTGTGTGTGTGTGTGTGTGTGTGTGTGTGTGAATACATACATGCATATAGTTGTTTTAA